GCAGGCGAATAACGCTGGGCCGGCTTCGGCACTCAAGTGTCCCGTCGTGAGCAGAGTGGGACTCGCTTGAACGGCCCTTGCTGGTGGCAGGGGATTGTTTAGAGAGGCGGCCAGAGTGACAGCCCCCCCTGTGCCACGCGGGGCTCATTGGACAAGTCGAGGAGAATTCGCCAGCGAAATGAGAAGCCGCGTGTCCACACTGCGCCTGCATCGCCGCGCTCACTCGAGCTGCCGATACCACTGCCACTGGCCCCACCCCCCCCCCGAGCGAGCCGCCACGCTGAGTCCAGGTCCGCATGTGGTGGGGTGAAGTGTGGGTACTCCTACCTTGTTGTATGCGCCGATGTCGATAAAGTTATACATATGATGGTCACACACCACGCGTATACACACACACGCACCTAACGGATTCTGTATAATATAGATAACTCAAAGCACTTGTCAACAACACTATGGTCTTAAAATAAATATATCATTGGTGACGTTTCGGGCAATGACTCTTGATAGCACGTCACGTGCTGTGCGTTGAATGCGTTTTGTTTGTTGTCTGTGCTTGGGCCCAACGCAGCAGCATCCATCACCACCAAATACATTGTTTCATTACCGGATTATAAGCCCCCCCCCCGCCCTGCACGTACACACATGATTGATTACACATACAGGGGGTGTAAAGTGCGTCTTGAACGCTCACACTGCGAGTAGTTGTTGGTTGTTGTTGTTGTTTGTTTTTGTTGTGTTGATGAGAAACTGCGTGCCGAACTGAGGGAGCATCCCCGATGCAAAGACAAAGCTCCCCCGTCTAGCTTTTACAGGCTGTTGGGACAAGTGCTGTTAGCGAGTAGCACCTGTGATGACCGTCACGTGACGCCCGGCCGCCTTTGCCTCCATCGAGCCGATGTGTTGACACATCGCACCGGGTCGTGAGCGGGGATCGAACTCGAGGCCGCTGCCGTGTTTGTAGCGTAACGAAGCGCGCTAACAGCGACACGCGGACATGGAATCCGTGCCGTGAATGTGCAATGTGTTAATGTGTGCTGAGATACATACTAACACGCACTGACACAGCGTAACGCGCACTTGCAAAGACACAGATCTGCCGTGTAGCCTGGACGGACTGTTGGGCGGTAGGGCACACACTCACACACTGAGACGCACTCACACACTACCAGACATGCACACGAACACACTAACACCCCCGGATAACACGAACGCAAGCACACACACAAACAAACACGCATTCTAACACGTACAAAACACCCTCGCACGCTCTCTCACGTACTTACACCCCCAACCACACACTTAGGCGAACACAAACACAACAGCGAACCACGCACGTGCACACGCATGCATTCTTACACACTCACGCATGCATTCTTACACACTCACTCACACGCACTCACACTCACTCACACGCATGCATTCTTACACACTCACACGCACGCACACTCACTCACACGCATGCATTCTTACACACTCACACTCACTCGCATGCATTCTTACACAATCACACGCATGCATTATTACACACTCACTCACACGCATGCATGCATTCTTACATACTCACACGCACTCACACTCACACCGACACAATCAGCATGCACGGACGAACAACATAGGCGCTAACACCCTCATACAAAGACAAAGATTCCCCGTATAGTCGAAAGAGATTGTTGGGGCAAGTTCTGTTGGCGAGCACCTATGAAGGCCGGCACGGCGCACGAGGGGGTGGATGGCTAGAATCACGCCCGGCCGCCTTTGTCTCCCCGGCGGCGATGTTTACACACCGGATCATGTACTTATATAAGGCTGAATAGACCTAGGGGAGGCCCAGAACCGATTCAGACAAGTCACTGGTGTTGGCCGTGAAAGGGAATCGGGTCGCCGGGTTCGTAGCGCAGCCTAGCGCTCGCCACTCACACCCACAACAGGAGACACACACTATAAACAGCGTAGCGCTCACCACTCACTCACTCACACTACAGGAGACACACTATAAACAGCGTAGCGCTCGCCACTCACTCACTCACACCCACTACAGGAGACACACACTATAAACAGTGTAGCGCTCACTCACTCACTCACACCCACTACAGGAGACACACACTATAAACAGTGTAGCGCTCCCTACTCACTCACTCACACCCACTACAGGAGACACACTATAAACAGCGTAGCGCTCCCTACTCACTCACACCCACAACAGGAGACACTATAAACAGCGTAGCGCTCGCCACTCACTCACTCACACCCACTACAGGAGACACACACTATAAACAGCGTAGCGCTCGCTACTCACTCACACCCACAACAGGAGACACCGACTATAAACAGTGTAGCGCTCCCTACTCACTCACACCCACTACAGGAGACACACACTATAAACAGCGTAGCGCTCCCTACTCACACCCACTACAGGAGACACACACTATAAACAGCGTAGCGCTCCCTACTCACACCCACTACAGGAGACACACTATAAACAGCGTAGCGCTCCCTACTCACACCCACAACAGGAGACACACACTATAAACAGCGTAGCGCTCGCCACTCACTCACACCCACTACAGGAGACACACACTATAAACAGTGTAGCGCTCCCTACTCACTCACTCACACCCACTACAGGAGACACACTATAAACAGTGTAGCGCTCGCCACTCACTCACACCCACAACAGGAGACACACACTATAAACAGTGTAGCGCTCGCTACTCACTCACACCCACTACAGGTGACACACACTATAAACAGCGTAGCGCTCGCTACTCACTCACACCCACTACAGGAGACACACACTATAAACAGTGTAGCGCTCACTCACTCACTCACACCCACTACAGGAGACACACTATAAACAGCGTAGCGCTCCCTACTCACTCACACCCACAACAGGAGACACACACTATAAACAGAGTAGCGCTCGCCACTCACTCACTCACACCCACTACAGGAGACACACACTATAAACAGCGTAGTGCTCGCTACTCACTCACACCCACAACAGGAGACACACACTATAAACAGTGTAGCGCTCACTCACTCACTCACACCCACTACAGGAGACACACACTATAAACAGTGTAGCGCTCCCTACTCACTCACACCCACTACAGGAGATACACTATAAACAGTGTAGCGCTCCCTACTCACTCACACCCACTACAGGAGACACACTATAAACAGCGTAGCGCTCGCTACTCACTCACACCCACAACAGGAGACACACACTATAAACAGTGTAGCGCTCCCTACTCACTCACACCCACTACAGGAGACACACTATAAACAGCGTAGTGCTCGCTACTCACTCACACCCACAACAGGAGACACACACTATAAACAGTGTAGCGCTCACTCACTCACTCACACCCACTACAGGAGACACACTATAAACAGCGTAGCGCTCCCTACTCACTCACACCCACAACAGGAGACACACACTATAAACAGCGTAGCGCTCGCCACTCACTCACTCACACCCACTACAGGAGACACACACTATAAACAGCGTAGTGCTCGCTACTCACTCACACCCACAACAGGAGACACACACTATAAACAGTGTAGCGCTCACTCACTCACTCACACCCACTACAGGAGACACACACTATAAACAGTGTAGCGCTCCCTACTCACTCACTCACACCCACTACAGGAGACACACTATAAACAGCGTAGCGCTCCCTACTCACTCACACCCACTACAGGAGACACACTATAAACAGCGTAGCGCTCGCTACTCACTCACACCCACAACAGGAGACACCGACTATAAACAGTGTAGCGCTCCCTACTCACTCACACCCACTACAGGAGACACACTATAAACAGCGTAGCGCTCTCTACTCACACCCACTACAGGAGACACACACTATAAACAGTGTAGCGCTCGCCACTCACTCACACCCACTACAGGAGACACACTATAAACAGCGTAGCGCTCCCTACTCACACCCACAACAGGAGACACACACTATAAACAGCGTAGCGCTCGCCACTCACTCACACCCACTACAGGAGACACACTATAAACATTGTAGCGCTCCCTACTCACTCACTCACACCCACTACAGGAGACACACACTATAAACAGCGTAGCGCTCCCTACTCACTCACACAACAGGAAACACACACTATAAACAGCGTAGCGCTCCCTACTCACACCCACAACAGGAGACACACACTATAAACAGCGTAGCGCTCGCCACTCACTCACACCCACTACAGGAGACACACACTATAAACAGTGTAGCGCTCGCCACTCACTCACTCACACCCACTACAGGAGACACACTATAAACAGCGTAGCGCTCGCCACTCACTCACTCACACCCACTACAGGAGACACACACTATAAACAGCCTAGCGCTCCCTACTCACTCACACCCACTACAGGAGACACACTAAACAGATAATATAATGCTGCTGCGTTGGCAGTGGTTCACAAAGAATAACAACTCAACACGTCCCGTGTCAATATCAACAACACCGCGTGGCCTTACAATGAAAAAAAAATGTAGGTGCACATACTTCCGTTGTAAACGTTTCGGGCAATGGCCCTTCTTCATAACACACAGGCAGAACGGCAATGGGAGACGGAGTGAATGATACCGCGGTTGGAGACTGCGCTACCCTTCTACAACGTGGCCCTGACCATCCGAGTCCCCTGTGTTCACACGTGTGTGCGTGTGTGTGTACTTGTGTGTGTGTATGCGTGTGTACTTGTGTGTGTGTACGTGTGTATGTGTATGCGTGTGTGCGTGTGTGTGTGTGTACGTGTGTGCGTGTGCGTGTGTACGTGTGTGTGTGTGTACGTGTGTGCGTGTGTGTGTGTGTGCGTGTGTGTGTGTACGTGTGTGTGCGTGTGCGTGTGTACGTGTGTGTGTGTACGTGTGTGTGTACGTCTGTGTGTGTATATATGTGTACAGGTGTGTGTGTACAGGTGTGTGTGTACAGGTGTGTGTGTACAGGTGTGTGTACGTGTGCGCGTCCCCGCCCACCTTTGTCTCCCAGGATGCCGTCGATGCTGTGTTTGGCCTTCTTGTCGCCGTCGTCGCCGAAGTCCTTCTTCTCGGCCCCCTCCTCCTCCTCCTCGTCGCGTTTGCCGAACTTGGCGCGCAAGATGCGGCTGATGGAGCTCACTGCGAGCGGCACGGCGGCGGCGGCGCGACACGGCGACAGCAGCAGCGGTAGCAACGACAGCACAGAGACAGCACAGAGACAGCAGCAGAGACAGCAGCAGCACAGAGACAGCAGCACAGAGACATCAGCACAGAGACAGCAGCAGCACAGAGGCAACAGCACAGAGACAGCAGCACAGAGACAGCAGCACAGAGACAGCAGCACAAAGACAGCACAGAGACAACAGCACAGAGACAGCAGCACAGAGACAACAGCACAGAGACAACAGCACAGAGACAACAGCAGCACAGAGACAACAGCACAGAGACAGCAGCACAGAGACAACAACAGCACAGAGAAAGCAGCACAGAGACAGCACAGAGACAGCACAGAGACAGCAGCACAGAGACAACAGCAGCACAGAGACAACACAGAGGCAACAGCAGCACAGAGACAGCACAGAGACAACAGCAGCACAGAGACAACAACAGCACAGAGACAACAACAGCACAGAGATAGCAGCAGCATAGAGACAGCACAGAGACAGCAGCACAGAGACAGCAGCACAGAGACAGCACAGAGACAGCAGCACAGAGACAACAGCACAGAGACAGCAGCTCGGAGACAACAGCACAGAGACAGCACAGAGACAGCACAGAGACAGCAGCACAGAGACAACAGCAGCACAGAGACAACAGCAGCACAGAGACAGCACAGAGACAGCAGCACAGAGACAACAGCACAGAGACAGCAGCTCGGAGACAACAGCACAGAGACAGCAGCTCGGAGACAACAGCACAGAGACAGCACAGCGACAACAGCACAGAGACAGCAGCACAGAGACAACAGCACAGAGACAAAAGTAGTACAGAGACAGCAGCACAGAGACAACAGCACAGAGACAGCAGCACAGAGACAACAGCACAGAGACAGCAGCACAGAGACAGCAGCAGCACAGAGACAGCAGCACAGAGACAGCAGCACAGAGACAGCACAGAGACAGCAGCACAGAGACAGCAGCACAGAGACCACAGCAGTACAGAGACAGCAGCACAGAGACAACAGCAGTACAGAGACAGCAGCACAGAGACAGCAGCACAGAGACAGCAGCACAGAGACAGCAGCACAGAGACAGCACGACCGCCGTTGAGAAGGAGGCGGTGGCGGCGCGCAGTCGCCCCGAGTCGCTCCCCGACGCGGGGCTCTCAGAAGGGCCCGGCCAGGGCGGACAAACTGGAGCGCGAGAAGTCCTCGGCTCGTCAATGTTTAGTTATAAATCATCGCTTTATACGGCGCACATTTATGTCGTGCGCGCGCGCGTGCGTGCGTCTATAGTTGAATTGTGTTTGAGAAATGCGTGGAGATGGTGGTCGGGACTCCCGTCGCGTAAATTCATTCTGCAGTTGTAGTTTTAGTTTCAATCACTTGTTCAAATGTCATTATCTTCATTTGTAATCTTATTTACATTAGTTCGTGCGGACAATAAATTATCCCTCGCGATGGAGTTGTTTTTGTTGTTTCAGTTTGTTGCTGCGAGCGAAGTGCCGCGTGTGTAGTACGATAGCCGCGTGATGACGGCACACACACCACATTTGTAAATCTACAACTTACACAGCGCACATTTATACAATGAATATCGCAACCAGTCAACAGCACACATATATAGACACACATATATATACAATATATGAGCAGTAATTACACGATGCACATCACTGGTACCATGTAGCATACGCTCCTGGCTCTAACAAGTTGCAGCTGTGTTGATGCGAGCGAGTTTTAATGACAGATGTTAATGGGCTGAGTGAGTGATTTATTTGGGAGATCGTTTCGCGTGGAGGAAGCAGCAGCAGCAGCAGCTCTGTGTCTGTACGAGAGAGCGAGGAGAGAGTTCCGACTCGAGTTCTCTCTGCAGGGACACCGCTCATCACCCCCCCCACCCCCCCCATCCAGAATTGACGCCTTTGCCGGGGCGATTCGGCCGTCAACCGATGCCAGTTATTGTAGACATCAACTCGGGATGACTTATCAGAATTACATTTCATATTAGAGCTTGACAAAAATGTATTTTTGTTAAGTGATTACGCGTCATGTATCGCGTGCGTCCGTGTGTGGAGAGGGCGATGAGCACGGGAGACAGGGGGGGGCGCTTTGCGCTCCTCTGCGGCGGCGGCTCCGTTTGGCACGTGTCGGCTCGCGCTGTTCTGCGCGATGACCGCCAAATCGACCACGCGTTTGTTGGTCGTCCGATTTGATTTTTTGGCGGAAATGTTCCGAAAGTCCTCCTGTAGCGGGTCCGGTGGCGCCGCGTAAAACCCCCGGCCGTGTGAATCGTCGAGCCGCTCGCTCGCCGTGAGCGTCCGGCTGCGTCGACTGTCGCGTGCAACGAGTCGCCGAAGCGTGCGCGCAGTCACTCATTGACAACGAGAGACGGGAACATTGGGCCGAGATTCCGCCCGGCCGCAAGTGACCATCTACCGTGTGCACGGGGTATGGAGCCCAGCTACTACCCACAGAGATGATCGTTGCACTAGCTCCAGCATGCACACACACGCGTGTGTACACGCGTGTGTTTACGTGTGTGTGTGTACACACACACACACGTAAACACGTAAACACAATCGACTGTGTTTAAGCGTGGGTGTGCGCGTGGGTGTGCGCGCACGCGTGTGGTTGCAGCCTATAGCAACTCCGTGTCGCATACAGTCTATAGCAACTCGGTGTCGCATACAACCTATAGCAACTCCGTGTCGCATACAGCCTATAGCAACTCCGTGTCGCATACAGCCTATAGCAACTCCGTGTCGCATACAGTCTATAGCAACTCCGTGTCGCATACAGCCTATAGCAACTCCGTGTCGCATACAGTCTATAGCAACTCCGTGTCGCATACAGCCTATAGCAACTCCGTGTCGCATACAGTCTATTGCAACTCCGTGTCGCATACAACCTATAGCAACTCCGTGTTGCATACAACCTATAGCAACTCCGTGTCGCATACAGCCTATAGCAACTCCGTGTCGCATACAGTCTATAGCAACTCCGTGTTGCATACAGCCTATAGCAACTCTGTGTCGCATACAGTCTATAGCAACTCCGTGTCGCATACAACCTATAGCAACTCCGTGTCGCATACAGCCTATAGCAACTCCGTGTCGCATACACTCTATAGCAACTCCGTGTCGCATACAGTCTATAGCAACTCTGTGTCGCATACAGTCTATAGCAACTCCGTGTCGCATACAGTCTATAGCAACTCCGTGTCGCATACAGCCTATTGCAACTCCGTGTCGCATACAGTCTATAGCAACTCTGTGTCGCATACAGTCTATAGCAACTCCGTGTCGCATACAGCATATAGCAACTCCGTTGCATACAGCCTATAGCAACTCCGTGTCGCATACAGTCTATAGCAACTCCGTGTCGCATACAGTCTATAGCAACTCGGTGTCGCATACAGTCTATAGCAACTCCGTGTCGCATACAGCCTATTGCAACTCCGTGTCGCATACAGTCTATAGCAACTCTGTGTCGCATACAGTCTATAGCAACTCCGTGTCGCATACAGCCTATAGCAACTCCGTGTCGCATACAGCCTATATCAACTCATTGTCCATACAGCCTATAGCAACTCCGTGTCGCATTCAGTCCATAGCAACTCCGTGTCGCATTCAGTCCATAGCAACTCCATGTCGCATACAGTCTATAGCAACTCCGTGTCGCATACAGTCTATAGCAACTCTGTGTCGCATACAGCCAATAGCAACTCCGTGTCGCATTCAGTTCATAGCAACTCCGTGTCGCATTCAGTCCATAGCAACTCCTTGTCGCATACAGTCTATAGCAACTCCGTGTTGCATTCAGTCCATAGCAACTCCGAATGGAAACTTCAGAGAGGTCATAGTCGCTGCATGTTAACATCACATTCAGTGGATCGCAACTTGATGTTAAATTCACAATCAATATATCAACTTCATATTCAGCATATAGCAACTGCGTATGTGAACGTCACATATAGTATATAGGAACTTAATGTCAACTTCACGCGTATAGTCTATAGCAACTCCATATGTGCACTTGGTAGAGAGAATATAGGATAGCAAGTTTTGCGTGTGATCTGAATACATCGAGAATTAAACGATATACGCGCACATTCCACATACGGACACTGTAGCAACTCCATGTGAACTCCATATAGTTTAGTCGTGTTTCTAGAGCAACTCCACACACATACAGTCTATAGTAACTCCACACACATACAGTCTACAGCAACTCCACACACATACAGTCTACATCAACTCCACACACATACAGTCTATAGCAACTCCACACACATACAGTCTATAGCAACTCCACACACATACAGTCTATAGCAACTCCACATAGGTACAGTCTATAGCAACTCCACATAGGTACAGTCTATAGAAACTCCACACACATACAGTCTATAGCAACTCCACACACATACAGTCTATAGCAACTCCACACACATACAGTCTATAGAAACTCCACACATACAGTCTATAGCAACTCCACACACATACAGTCTATAGCAACTCCACATAGGTACAGTCTATAGCAACTCCACATAGGTACAGTCTATAGAAACTCCACACACATACAGTCTATAGCAACTCCACACACATACAGTCTATAGCAACTCCACACACATACAGTCTATAGAAACTCCACACATACAGTCTATAGCAACTCCACACACATACAGTCTATAGAAACTCCACACACATACAGTCTATAGCAACTCCACACACATACAGTCTATAGCAACTTCAAACACATACAGTCTATAGCAACTCCACACAAATACAGTCTATAGCAACTCCACATACAGTCTATAACAACTCCACACAGGTACAGTCTATAGCGACTCCACACACATACAGTCTATAGCGACTCAACACATATACAGTCTATAGCAACTCCACACATATACAGTCTATAGCAACTCCACACAGGTACAGTCTAGAAACTCCACACACATACAGTCTATAGCAACTTAACACATATACAGTCTATAGCAACTCCACACACATACAGTCTATAGCAACTCCACACAGGTACAGTCTATAGCAACTCCACACACATACAGTCTATAGCAACTCCACACACATTCAGTCTATAGCAACTCCACACGCATACAGTCTATAGCAACTCCACACACATACAGTCTATAGCAACTCCACACACATACAGTCTATAGCAACTCCACACACATAGTCTATAGCAACTCCACACACATAGTCTATAGCAACTCCACACAGGTACAGTCTAGCAACTCTACACACATACAGTCTATAGCAACTCAACACATATACAGTCTATAGCAACTCAACACATATACAGTCTATAGCAACTCCACACACATACAGTCTATAGCAACTTAACACAGTCTATAGAAACTCCACACACATACAGTCTATAGCAACTCCACACATATACAGTCTATAGCAACTCCACACATACAGTCTATAGCAACTCCACACACATACAGTCTATAGCAACTCCACACACATACAGTCTATAGCAACTCTACACACATACAGTCTATAGCAACTCCACACACATACAGTCTATAGCGACTCCACACACATACAGTCTATAGCAATTCCACACACATACAGTCTATAGCAACTTAACACAGTCTATAGAAACTCCACACACATACAGTCTATAGCAACTCCACACATATACAGTCTATAGCAACTCCACACATACAGTCTATAGCAACTCCACACACATACAGTCTATAGCAACTCCACACACATACAGTCTATAGCAACTCTACACACATACAGTCTATAGCAACTCCACACACATACAGTCTATAGCGACTCCACACACATACAGTCTATAGCAATTCCACACACATACAGTCTATAGCAACTCCACACATATACAGTCTATAGCAACTCCACACATATACAGTCTATAGCAACTCCACACACATACAGTCTATAGCAACTCCACACATATACAGTCTATAGCAACTCCACACACATACAGTCTATAGCAACTCCACACACATACAGTCTATAGCAACTCCACACAGGTACAGTCTATAGCAACTCCACATAGGTACAGTCTATAGAAACTCCACACACATACAGTCTATAGCAACTCCACACACATACAGTCTATAGCAACTCCACACAGGTACAGTCTATAGCAACTCCACACACATACAGTCTATAGCAACTCCACGAGCATGGATGCGGAACGCGAAGTCGTAGCGAGCGTGTCATATGAACATCGGCAGAGTGAGGCCACAGATGTAGAGTGGCCCTCCATGACTCAGAGAGGGCGAGACGGAGCGAAGTGTGACGGGACGGGGGAGGAAGGCCGTCGTCAGGCCTGGAGAGCGGAGCGGGAAGAGGAGACGAAGATGAGTGGGGGGACGGTAACGCAGTGCGGTGGGTATCGCCTGAACAGGCGACACAACGCACGGGGAATGGGGGAGGGGGTGGTGATGATGATGATGTTGATGAGTGGAGATGCGGGAGAGATTCGTTTTGGATCACTACGCATGCTGATGATCCGGCTGATCATGATGATGATTGTGAGTGAAGATGTGGGGGTGATGAGGTGTTCATGAGTAAGCGCACGCGTGAACATCGCTCAGAGGTTTGGCAGAAGAATCTGCGGCTAAAAACGATTCCGATTTCACTCAGAACACAGACAAAGATCCCCCCGATAGCCTTCACAGACTGTTGGGACAAGTGCTGTGCACACAACGTAGACCTGAACAGTGACAAGCGGATGTAATATTGACACAATTGTTTCTATACAGGCACGTAACTCTCTATGTGATCGTGTATACAACACACCAGCATGCGTGGAACACAAACACACAACGACATCCGTTCGCCACCATGTTGCGTGGACGTCATCACGGGGCTTGTGCCAGGCTAGGTGCATCTTGCACCTATGCATACATTGATAAACACACGCACATGTATATATACACACATAACACTACACACACAGACGCATATATGTACCCTTGCTAACACACATACGTGTATACGCACACATATATGAACGCACGCATAAACACGTGTACGCATATATGCTACGGTTGTTAAACGATAACCGGGTAAATGGGTAACCGTTTTTAAAAGCGAATACCGGTTCAAAAAGGGAGAAACCGGTAACCGTTTCTAGTGGAATTTTAGAAACGAATGCGCCGGTCTGACACGCGCGGACGGACAAACCGCACGGCGAGGACGGTAACGGCGCGGCCCTGCAAGCACTCCCTGGCGCCGCGACTCTCAGCAGCAAGCGCCTTGGGGGATGGGTGGGGGGAGTACCCACACTGCACCCCACCACCACCACACTGCACCCCACCACCACCACCACACTGCACCCCACCACCACCACCACACTGCACCCCACCACCACCACCACACTGCACCCCACCACCACCACCACCACACTGCACCCCACCACCACACTGCACCCCACCACCACCACCACACTGCACCCCACCACCACCACCACACTGCACCCCACCACCACCACCACACTGCACCCCACCACCACCACCACACTGCACCCCACCACCACCACCACCACCACACTGCACCCCACCACCACCACACTGCACCCCACCACCACCACCACACTGCACCCCACCACCACACTGTACCACACTGCACCCCACCACCACACTGTACCACACTGCACCCCACCACCACCACACTGCACCCCACCACCACCACACTGCACCCCACCACCACCACACTGCACCCCACCACCACCACCACACTGCACCCCACCACCACCACCACCACACTGCACCCCACCACCACCACCACCACACTGCACCCCACCACCACCACCACCACACTGCACCCCACCACCACCACCACACTGCACCCCACCACCACCACCACACTGCACCCCACCACCACCACACTGCACCCCACCACCACCACACTGCACCCCACCACCACCACCACACTGCACCCCACCACCACCACCACACTGCACCCCACCACCACCACACTGCACCCCACCACCACCACCACCACACTGCACCCCACCACCACCACACTGCACCCCACCACCACTACCACACTGTACCACACTGCACCCCACCACCACACTGCACCCCACCACCACTACCACACTGTACCACACTGCACCCCACCACCACACTGCACCCCACCACCACCACACTGCACCCCACCACCACCACCACACTGCACCCCACCACACTGCACCCCACCACCACCACCACACTGCACCCCACCACCACTACCACACTGTACCACACTGCACCCCACCACCACCACCACACGGCACCCCACCACCACCACCACACTGCACCCCACCACCACACTGCACCCCACCACCACACTGCACCCCACCACCACCACACTGCACCCCACCACCACGCCGCCCGCAGGTCGACTAACCGTGGTTTGGACCCATTGTCCACCCTGGGTGGACAAGGAGGCGCGGGGGTGACGGAGGGGGGGGGGGGTGGAGGGGGTGGTGAAGGAGGTGGAGGGGAAGGAGGGGTGGTGGTGACGGAGGGGTGGTGGTGACGGAGGGGTGGTGGTGACGGAGGGGTGGTGAAGGAGGGGGTGGAGGGGGGGGGTGGAGGGGGGGTGAAGGAGGGGGGGGGGAATGAAACTAAACCCGGCCCCCTCTGCATTGCAAGTGCGACGATGTTCGTTTGTCGCTGGACATTTCTAGACCTGTGGCAAAACCCGTAGCCGGTTTTTTATGATTTTCATGGCGAAAGTGGTCATGTGGAGATCCTATCTCAGCGGCCTGACACGCATACACACGTGCAGACATGCACACAGTCCGTACAGACATGAAGACAATCAGACGCATGAAAAACACATATTTTATATCGAGATACACACACATGTAAGTATACACGTCATGATATACAAATTTATATAAATAAGTGAGTACAATACGGTGCGCCAAATACACAAACACGCACACACACACACGGCTACACAGAAACGAACGCTGTGCTAACCATGATGTTACCACTCACACACACGCGTGTACACATTTGTACAGATGCACACCTTTTACACATGAACACACAAACACACCTGTCACACATACACCTGTCACGTACAGACACACACACACCTGTCACACATACACCTGTCACGCACATACACACACACCTGTCACACACACACCTGTCACGCACATACACACACCTGTCACACATACACCTGTCACGCATACACACACACACCTATTACACATACACCTGTCACGCATATACACACACACCTGTCACACACACACAATCAGCACACACACACACAATCAGCACACACACACCTGTCACACATACACCTGTCACGCACATACACACACACACCTGTCACACATACACCTGTCACACACACACAATCAGCACACACACACACCTGTCACACACACACCTGTCACGCACATGCACACACACACCTGTCACACATACACCTGTCACACACACAATCAGCACACACACACAATCAGCACACACACACACCTGTCACGCACATACACACACACCTGTCACACACACACCTGTCACACACACACAATCAGCACACACACACACCTGTCACACATACACCTGTCACACACACACAATCAGCACACACACACACACCTGTCACACACACCTGTCACACACACACACGGGTCGCGCTGCCCCGCTCGCGCCGCGCATACCCGAGGGCACCGAAGCGCGGTCACACACGCCGTCCTTCAGCAGGCGGTCCCGGATCTCCCAGCTGAACATACCCGGGTTCTCGCGCTTGTACTCCTCGATTTTTCGCTCCACGTCGGTGCTCGCCACCTGCTGCAGGTGGCCGACACGTGGGGGGGGGGGGAGGGACACGCGCCGCCCAGTCAGCACCCAGCGCGACCTGACTCGCACGCTCACTCACACACTCAATCACTCGTACACTCACTCACTCACACACTCACTCACACACTCACTCATCCACTCACTCACTCGCACACACTTACTCACACTCACACACTCACTCACAGGCTCAATCACTCACTCACTCACTCGCACACTCACTCACACACTCACACACTCTCACTCGTACACTCACACACTCACTCACTCGTACACTCACACACTCACACACTCACTCACTCACACACTCACTCACACACTCGCACACTCACTCACACACTCACTCACTCGCACACTCACTCGCACACTCACTCACACACTCACACACTCAATCACTCACTCGTACACTCACTCACTCACACGCTCACTCACACACTCACTCACTCACACACTCACTCACTCACACTCACACACTCAATCACTCACTCGTACACTCACTCACTCACACACTCACTCACTCACACACTCACTCACTCATCCACTCACACACTGGCACACTCACTCACTCACACACTCACTCACAGGCTCAATCACTCACTCACTTATCCACTCACTCGTACACTCACTCACATACTCAATCACTCAGGTCCTCACTCGTACACTCACTCACAGACTCAATCACTCACTCACTCGTACACTCACTCACAGATTCAATCACTCACTCACTCACTCGCACACTCACTCACTCGTATACTCACTCACTCGTACACTCACTCACAGACTCAATCACTCAGGCACTCACTCGTACACTCACTTACAGACTCGATCACTCGTACACTCACTCACAGACTCAATCACTCAGGCACTCACTCGTACACTCATTCACAGACTCAATCACTCGTACACTCACTCACAGACTCAATCACTCAGGCACTCATTCGTACACTCACTCACAGACTCAATCACTCGTACACTCACTCACAGACTCAATCACTCAAGCACTCACTCGTACACTCACTCAGCGACTCAATCACTCAGGCACTCACTCGTACACTCACTCAATCACTCAGGCACTCACTCGTACATTCACTCACAGACTCAATCACTCGTACACTCACTCACTAACAGACTCAATCACTCGTACACTCACTCGAACACTCACAGAATCAATCACTCAAGCACTCACTCACTCACTTACAGACTCAATCACTCAGGTCCTCACTCGTACACTCACTCACAGACTCAACCACTCAGGCACTCACTCACACACTCACTCGTACACTCACTCACAGACTCAATGACTCAGGCACTCACTCGTACACCCACTCACTCACAGACTCACTCGTACACTCACTCACTGACTCAATCACTGAGGCACTCATTCGTACACTCACTCACTCACAGACTCAATCACTCAGGCACTCACTCACACACTCACTCGCTCACAGACTAAATCACTCAGGCACTCACTCGAACACTCACTCACAGACTCAATCACTCAGGCACTCACTCGTACACTCACTCAGTCAAAGACTCAATCACTCAGGCACTCACTCGTACACTCACTCAGACTCAATCACTCAGGCACTCACTCGTACACTCACTCACTCACAGACTGAATCACTCATACACTCACTCGCATGCTCACTCACTCGCACACTCACTCACTCACAGACTCAATCACGCAGGTACTCACTCGCACGCTCATTCACTCTCTCACAGACTCAATCACTCAGGCACTCACTCGCACGCTCACTCACTCACTCTATCATAGACGCAATCACTCAGGCACTCACTCGCGAGCCCAATTAATCACAGACGCGTGTACTTACTGATTCCCAGACTCACTCACCGACGCATTCACTCACCCGCGAGCCAATCATTCGCTCATCTACTCTTCATTCATTCATCCACTCACAGACTCAGCCACGCGCGCCTCGACTCACTCATTAATTCACTCACTCACAGACTCAGCCACGCGCGCCTCAACTCATTCATCCATTCACTCACTCACAGACTCAGCCACGCGCGCGCCTCAACTCATTCATTCACTCACTCACAGACTCAGCCACGCGCGCGCCTCGACTCACTCATTCATTCACTCACTCACAGACTCAGCCACGCGCGCCTCAACTCACTCATTCATTCACTCACTCACAGACTCAGCCACGCGCGCGCCTCAACTCACTCATTCATTCACTCACTCACAGACTCAGCCACGCGCGCGCCTCAACTCACTCATTCATTCACTCACTCACAGACTGAGCCACGCGCGCCTCGACTCACTCATTCATTCACTCACTCACAGACTCAGCCACGACGCCTTTCGCGTGCTCACTCCCCCCTTCAGAGGAGCAGCACGCGTGTATTCGTTCGTTCATTTGTTAATTCGTTCGGTCCCTCGGACTCTGGCATTCCTAATATGTTTACGCGGCTGATCTTAGCGACGATTAACGCAATTAATTAATTGCGGTAATATCTGCGCCGAGTCATTAGCGTCATCTGGAACGAACTCGTGCTACTATCCGTGTTGTGTAAATGTTTGCGCTCGTGGTGTTCATCAGAGGGGTGATCGCGCACGCGATTCGTGTCGAACGCCCACCGCGTGCAGCGAGTCGCCTGCGTTCGGGCCTATGTCTGTCAATTGGGTTGGCGTGACCCCAACAGTCGCTAGAGGCCGCTACATTGACAACATGTTGTCTGAATAACATCAAACGAACCATAATTGAATTGAATCGAGACCCTGAATCGCGACAATTAATTTGATTCGCCAGCTGCGCATCGTTAAAACCAAATATATTTATATATATACATGTGTAAGATTCCATCAGCCTTGTAAAACACCAGCGGCGCATGCCTGCGAGACGACACGGAGCCCGTGGATATCCACTCACGTGTTCTCTAATCTACACGAGCACACCGCGTGCCCCGAAGAGATACAAACACGGATGTAAAACAATCTGTATTCGTCCCCGGCACGCGTACACACACGTGTACAGCTCCGCCTCGTTACACGCCTGTGTGTGTGTGTGTGCTGGCGACCTCATCGCTCGTGTGCCCGCTAACAGCACTTGCCCCAAAAGTCTGTTTCGGCTATACGGGGAATCTTTGTCTTTGTGTCGTCTAGAACATTCGGGAGACCCACAAACCATTTGTGTCTCCCAATCTGCAGATGTTTTCCACACGGCACCAGGTACTCATTTGAGGCCGAGTCGACCTAGGGGAAGCCCAGGACCAGTTCTAATCATCGTTAGTGGTGTTGTCCGTGAGTGGGAATCGAATCTAACAGGTGGCGGGGTTTGGAGCGCAGCGCGCTAAACGCTACACTACCGCTCCCCACACATACATATACAACATGCAAAAAGACATACACACACATCCACACACACACACCGGCATGCATAAACACACATCCACACCGGCATGCATATAACACACACACACACACACATCCACACACACACACACATCCACACACACATCCACACACACATACACACACACATACACACACATCCACACACACATCCACATTCACACATTCACATGCGCGCGGTGTGAATGTGCGTGCGTTGCGTGCGCGTGGGTTCACGTGGTGAGTAAAACCGGGCAGCGACAATGGAACGAGAGCCACGGTCTGGAGTGGCGACACTCGGCGTGGTATTTACTGCGTCAACACCGCCCATGCGGCAACAGCGGGAAGCTCACCAAAGTTGTCGAAGGCTTGATGATGATGATGACGGTGACGACAATGATGATCGCGGGGGTTGGTGATGAATGTGGTGGTGGCAGTGTTCGTGGTCGTCACAATGATTCCAAGAATAATAATCATTACAATTCTCCGCTCTTTCCACAGCGCTGAACCACCACATCCCAGACTTTAACCCAAACTCCAGCAGGTGGCTTGCAGAGGAATTCCCTGATGCGAAGTCGATGCCGGCGCTAAGCGCGTGCGACAATGCACTGGGTGTTATATTCATTCTATCAACACCAACGGTGCACGTTGTAGAGTTTAAATGTTAGTAGACATGTGCCATTACGCGTTTGCTGTGTATATATGTGTGTGTGTGAATGTGCGTCTCGCCATAGCTTGTGGGGAGCGGTAGTGTGGCGGTTAGCGCGCTACGCTACAAAGCCGACCCAGCCGAGTTCACGGCCATCAACACCAGGTGCGATTATCTGAACCGATCATGGGCATCCTCAACGTCGACTCGGCCTCAATTGAGTACGTGGTGCAATGTGCGAAACATCGCCGCGAGAGAGACAAAAGCGGCCGGACGTGATGCTGGACACACACCCCCTCGTGTGCCGTGCCGGCCTTCATAGTTGCTCGCTAACAGTATTCGCCCCAACAGTCGGTTGAGGTTATACGGGGGATCTTTGTTTGGTGTGACTGAGTGTGTCTGTGTGTGCACGTGCCATTCTGACTTTGCTGTGCAGGTTTGCATTGACACCCGGGACACTTGCCAACGAGATGTTCCATCTCGACTGAGACGTTCCATTTCAAGCAAAACGTTCCATCTCGAGGACTTATCCAAGTGAGACGTTATTTTAATAAATTAATTTAAAAAATGTTCATGAACCAATGCGGCTGCGTTCAATCCCACGTCAAGTAACGGGGTGGTGGTGGTCCCGGGATCGACTCTGAGTGACCCCTCCCCCGAGGCCCCCCTGTACCTTTCTGGGTCTCTACAAGTCTCTGAGCAAGTCTCTCTGGGTATCTGCAAGTCTGTGAGCGAGTCTCTCTGGGTCTCTGCAAGTCTCTGAGTGAGTCTCTCTGGGTCTCTGCAAGTCTCTGAGCGAGTCTCTCTGGGTCTCTGCAAGTCTCTGAGTGAATCTCTCTGGGTCTCTGCAAGTCTCTGAGCGAGTCTCTCTGGGTCTCTACAAGTCTCTGAGTGAGTCTCTCTGGGTCTCGGCAAGTCTCTGAGCAAGTCTCTCTGGGTCTCTGCAAGTCTCTGAGCAAGTCTCTCTGGGTCTCTGCAAGTCTTTGAGCGAGTCTCTCTGGGTCTCTGCAAGTCTCTCTGGGTCTCTGCAAGTCTCTGAGCAAGTCTCTCTGGGTCTCTGCAAGTCTCTGAGCAAGTCTCTCTGGGTCTCTGCAAGTCTCTGAGCAAGTCTCTCTGGGTCTCTGCAAGTCTCTGAGCAAGTCTCTCTGGGTCTCTGCAAGTCTCTGAGCGAGTCTCTCTGGGTCTCTCTGGGTGGGTCTCTCTGGGTCTCTGCAAGTCTCTGAGTGAGTCTCTCTGGGTCTCTGCAAGTCTCTGAGCGAGTCTCTCTGGGTCTCTGCAAGTCTCTGAGTGAGTCTCTCTGGGTCTCTCTGGGTGGGTCTCTCTGGGTCTCTGCAAGTCTCTGAGCGAGTCTCTCTGGGTCTCTACAAGTCTCTGAGCGAGTCTCTCTGGGTCTCTGCAAGTCTCTGAGTGAGTCTCTCTGTGTCTCTACAAGTCTCTGAGTGAGTCTCTCTGGGTCTCTGCAAGTCTCTGAGCGAGTCTCTCTGGGTCTCTGCAAGTCTCTGAGCGAGTCTCTCTGGGTCTCTGCAAGTCTCTGAGCGAGTCTCTCTGGGTCTCTGCAAGTCTCTGAGCGAGTCTCTCTGGGTTTCTGCAAGTCTCTGAGTGAGTCTCTCTGGGTCTCTACAAGTCTCTGAGTGAGTCTCTCTGGGTCTCTACAAGTCTCTGAGCGAGTCTCTCTGGGTCTCTGCAAGTCTCTGAGTGAGTCTCTCTGGGTCTCTGCAAGTCTCTGAGCAAGTCTCTCTGGGTCTCTACAAGTCGCTGAGTGAGTGTCTCTGGGTCTCTGCAAGTCTCTGAGTGAGTCTCTCTGGGTCTCTGCAAGTCTCTGAGCGAGTCTCTCTGGGTCTCTGCAAGTCTCTGAGTGAGTGTCTCTGGGTCTCTGCAAGTCTCCGAGTGAGTCTCTCTGGGTCTCTGCAAGTCACTGAGTGAGTCTCTCTGAGTGGGTCTCTCTGGGTCTGTCTGAGTCTCTCTAGAACTTTGTGAGTCTCTCCGAGTCTCTCTCTGGGTGATTTGCGTGGAGTCGCGCGAGGCGCCTTCTGCTCATGGGCAGGAGGTGAGGGGGGAGGGGGCGACGAGTCACGACGGGGGGGGGGGGGGGGGGGGGGGGGGGGGGGGGGGGGGGGGCGGGGGGGATTGAGGGATGCAGCAGGGGGGGGGGGGCACGGGAACCCCGAGGCCGAATCCAGGGCCGGCCGGGGTTGTGACGGTCGCCTGGGGTGCGGGGGGAGGGGGCTAAGGAAGGAGGGGGGAGCCAGGCTGTTGCTCACCGCGTGAGATTGGGGGTGGTGGTTGGGGTGGAGGGCGAGTGGTGGTGGTGGTTGTGGTGTTAATGGTGGTGGTGGGGGGTCGATGTCATCTAAGTCGTCTCATCCATCTAACCCACAACTCCTGGGTCTGTCCTGTGACCTGCCAGCAGCGAGCCTTCCACACTTCACGTGATAGCCTCCAAGTGCACCTAGCCTGGCACAAGGGCTGTGGTAACTTCGTCGCTACTTAGTGATAGATGGTGGCTATTACTGTTACTGTTGGTGGTGGTTGTACTGCTATGATTGCTGTTCAGTGATGGTGGTCGTGGAGGTGAAAGTGGCGGTAACGGTGATGCCGATGCTTGTGCTGCTGGTCGTGGTGGTGCTGCTTCTGTTCGTGGTGCCGATGCTGCTGTTTATCGTTTATGGCCATATGGCGCGAGTGGCTGGCTGAGTGAGTGAATGAGTGTCCGGTGAATGAATGCGTCAGTGGGTGAGCGTCTGTCTGGCTGGGCTGAGTGAACGAATGAGTCAGTGGATGAGCCTCTGGTGAGGTGCCATCCATCCCATACCACCCATCCCATCCATCACTCTCACCCGGGGCTTGCTGCCTCCGATGGCCCCGGGCCGTATGGATCCGGTCTCCTGGTATCGGCACAGAATCTTGGAGACGCATCCGTGGGAGACGCGAAGCTGGCGGGAAATGACGCAGGGTCTCACGCCGTGGTGGGCCAACTCCACGATCTTGTGCCGGATGTGGTTGGGCAAGGGGCGCCCGTTGATGAACACTCCTCCCAGCTGGTTCACGCGACCCTGGCCCAGAGGGGTCGACACTGCTCGGGAGAAGAGGGGGTGGGATGGGGGTCACAAAGTGGGGGGGGGGGGGGGGGGGGGGGTCCGTTAGGTTCTCGGTCGGGGCAGTGGTGCAGGTGACCTATGGCGCAATCAGAAATGGCATCCTGTTGAAATTTACCCGAGGTATTACTTTGTGTTGTTGTTACATTTATCAGCGAAGGTCTCTGTTTAAAAGAAATGTTGACTTGTATTGACTGTGACGTTTCTAGATCCGTCTCTGAAGGGAACGATGTGGATAGTGATGTTAGTGACGGTGATAGTGGTGGTGGTGATGGTGAAAGTGATGGTGGTAGTGATGGTGATAGTGGTGGTGATAGTGATGGTGATAGTGGTGGTGATGGTGAGAGTGATAGTGATGGTGGTAGTGATGGTGATATTGATGGTGATAGTGGTGGTGAGAGTGATAGTGATGGTGGTAGTGATGGTGAGAGTGATGGTGATAGTGATGGTGATAGTGGTGGTGGTGGTAGTGATGGTAGTGATGGTGATAGTGGCCGTGTTGATCCTGCCATTGCTAGTTGATGAATTAATTACAATTAATTTAAGATATGTATATTGTATTGTTTGTTGTTGTAACTTGCTGACCCGCCCCTACTGGACATCTGTGAAAAAGAGCTTCATAGCTCATCGGATTCATCCTCCCGCAGTCTAAATAAAGATGTTGATTCTGATCAGTATTGCACCTCCGTAGTCATCCTTGGACATGGAACATCTCGTCGTTGCAGGGACGTCCCGAGTGTCGATCGATGCGTACACAACGCACGCGCGTAACGACGCGTGTACACCTACATCCCATAGAGTCTTCATTTATACAATCACTCCCAGCCAAAGACGCACACACACACACACGAGTGTATATATATACTATTAATACATTTAGAACGCACTTGTGATTTTTGTGATTATTGTGTCGTGATTATTGTGATTGCTGTGTCGTGATTATTATGTCTACTGTGACTATTGTGATTATTGTGACTATTGTGTCGTAATTATTCTGACTATTGTGACTATTGTGATTGTGTTTGTGTTTATCGTTATTTTTGTGTTTATTGTGTTTATTCGTTGTGTTTACTGGGGGCGGCACTTTGCTCCTCCATCACCTAACCTGCAGACAAGACGCATTCGTTATATCCAGCAGTGGATCGACCAAGGACTGCCCGTGACTGCACTATACCGACGATAGACTTCTAACAGTAATTGTTAAAGACATTATTTGTTTGCTTTGTTGAACATGTACAGCTTGTATTACCTTACGTCCTTGCAACTATGAACCCGGTAATCCTGAACTTAATTCCGGGCCGTGGCGAGCCAGACTGGTGAAGTATGGTCAAATAGACCCCATGACCAACGATAAATTTGTGTGGGAGGAGGAGGAGGCTTGGTTCATCCAGCAGTGGATTTGCTAACAAGACTGCACGTAATCCGTACAGTATTCATGATGTGTGTGTGGTATGCATGAACTGTGTTATATATTGTTGTTTCGATGCTGGGAATTTATATCAGGGGTCATTAGAATCCCCGGGTTTGGAATCCACGCCGTGTTTTTTTTCAATGACTGTATTTACACGGGAAGTTCATCCTCCCGTGTTCAGTCACACGGGCGCTTGAGTTGCCATCATTTTGCAAATCCAGAAAATAAATATAAGGCCCTAAATGATTACGCTTTGTTAAATATTAACAAAATAATTTTAAACATCACCGACACGCTCCTTACTTTTTTTTGCTATTTGGCGGATAGATAATCTCTCTTTCCGACCCGTTCGTGTTAAAATAATGAATTAGATCCCACACGCAATTTGTTTCGTAGTTAATTCAGTTGAGTTATAGTTCGTTGACTTTGGTTGAGTTTTAGTTCATTTTGGCGAGCCTTCGTTTATTTATTCGAGCCGCCATTGACGTGACCTGCTCTCTTCTTCGTATCAATGTCGTCAGCCGACCGAGTGGACATTAAAAATAGCTTCTTAGCTTTACGGGCTTTAGTCAGTGGGAAATCCACTCGTGGTTCTGATTCTGACAATAAGTAACGCACTCCCAGAAGGGAGTGCGGCTGATGTGATGTGTAAAGCGATAACTACGCGGTATATTTTACGTGAATAAGGAAGAGGCGGTAATTCCGTGGGCCTGGCTAAGTCCACGACTCTGCCGAAGTCGCGGGCCGGCTGCAGGGAGACTCTGAGTGGTGCCACCCGCCTCAAGGTGTCCTCCGCCTGATCTACGCACGCGTTTTTAATGATACGAAATTGTTTCGTCTCACGCGTTACAATTCCCTCCACCTGCACGTTTAGATTAAAAACTACAAGGAGCCGAAATGTATGACGGGAGCGCTTGCTAAGCGCGCGAGCGTGAGAATTAACAATCTCTGTACCGGTGTCGTCTTGAGATGGGGATGGTAGTGGGGGGGGGGGGGTATGACCCCGGCACGCACGGCGCTGCTCTTGTGAAGCGTCTCACCGGCTCTCAAACATCAACACGCAGCGGGGAGTGGGGGGGGGGGCAGCACATTCCTCGATGGGAGATTATCGGCAGGGGGTGGGAATTGAACCGGGAAGTGGAATCCGCAGGGATCGGTGCGCCCGGCCCATGTGTGGTGAATGCAGGGGGGCGGGGGGGGGGCTTGCTGCGGGGCTAATCAGCATTGTTGTCATCATCATTAATCATGATTACAACAATAATCATTGCAACATCGTCATAACGGATGGAGATAACGGGCCCCGCGATCGCTCCGTGCGTCTCGCTCCGTCGGGACGATCGCGCTCACGAGCGACATAAAGCGAACACAATTACTCGTGACTGACGACACAACAGAGACACAAGGCGAGGAGGCGTAGCGCGTGATTCATCGCTCCCTGGGTGTGAGGCGGCTGCGCTAGACCGCGCGTGCTTCTATCACGTTGCGATGTGTTTATTAAATTGCGGCCCAGCTCTCCCTTGAGAGATGAGGCGTCTGGGTCCCTCAACGCGCCACTCGCCCGGTGTTTTACATCAACGGGGAATGAAGTTTCGTGTCAGAAAGCTGACACTTGGCTGAGTGAATTCCACTCACTCGCGCCTGTACGACAACACGCGCCACGCATCGGATCTCATAAGTAGCGACTGCGCGCGCATTCCGGGTTACAATTACACATTCACTGGGGGAAGAGGAGGGGGGTGTGGGTCTCAATAAAAAATACATATATTTAAAAATTACTTAAGAGCTTAAATTACTGCTAAGATGTTAATCTCTGCGCGTGTCACCAGTACCGCGCGCGAGTCACTGTCCCGACGTCAAAGAGACGTTCACGGCGAGGGCTCCTGAGACCGATTCCGCTCTTTAACGTCGGGTGGCAACAGTCGCCTCGGGTTGCTCGGATGTAAGCGGGGTAACTGCACAACCCAGCGGCGACGTTGGCCACGGACGACCCCGGTAGGTTGTTGCAAGAAGACGCCCCGGGGAGTTGCCTGCGTTGGCAGCAAGGAGCGAGTGTTGCCTTCCAAGCAAAACGGGCAGCAGTGGGTCGATGACGATCGTGGATTATTTTTCAAGGCATTATTTGGTGATGCTGCATGCTGCGTTGGCAGTGGTGCACACGTACAATTGATGATATTAATAATATCATACAAACAAACCTCAACGCGTTTGTCAGTAACTCTGTGTGGCCTTTAAATATTAATAGTACATATATATGTGTGCATGTGCCTTCCCTTTAAGGCAGCGTAATTGACGAATTTGTTCAGAGTTTGTGTTTTGTGTAAGTGTTGATGCAGGTAGAGTACTAGGGCAGGAGACAGAACAGAGCCAGAGATAAGTGGAAAGCTGCTGATGATATATTGATGCGAGAATACCCATCGCAGAGGCGAAAAAAACACAGACACATGCACAGACAGACACACGCGCACAGACACACGGACACACGCACACATGGTTTGGACATGTTTGTTTTGTTGTAGAACGGAGTTAGACTGATGGCCTTAATCTAAGTTTTCTTGTGGTTGTTGTTGTTGTTGTTTGACTTGCATCCCACTGGGATTTTTTGCACACAGCGTTGGTGTACGGTGTTTTTTTCAGGAATAATTTGCTGTTTTTTTCTCATGGATTTTCTGTTTGCACAGTCACATAGTCACTTTAAGATGTTTTTCTTGTTCGTGTTTTTTTGTTTGTTGTGGTTGCACCCGATTCAAGAGCCGAATGGCTCACAAGGCTATACCAAAATAAAGAAACTGAACTGAACAGACAGACACATGCGCACAGACACACGCACACACAAACACACGCGCACAGACACACGCACACAGACAGACACATGCACGCACAGACACACGCACACAGACAAACACATGCGCACAGACACATGCACACAGACAGACACATGTACGCACAGACACACGCACACAGACAAACACATGCGCACAGACACACGCACACAGACAGACACACGCACACAAAAAGACACATGCGCACAGACACGCACAGACACGCACACAGAGATAGACACACGCATACACAGACACACGCACACACAGACAGACACACGTGCGTGCGCGTGCACGCCGAGCGTGGTGGGACGCGGAGAGTCGGGTCGCGGCCCTGATTCAGCCGTGATTATTCCCAGTCATGTTGCGCCTAATCCTTTCATCAAATCCGTTTGCTAATAATGTTCCAGCTCGCGAGCCGCAGCCCCTCGAGCCGGGCACTCGAGACGCGTGTGGATGCGGGCCCCGGGAGGAAACACGCGGGCTGGAACGCATAGCCCGAGGCGAGAGTTGTCACTCGCTGAGATATAGACTCGCTCGCCGAGGAATAGTCTCACTCACCGAGGAATAGTCTCACTCGCTAAGACAGTCTCACTGGCCGAGGAATAGTTGTCACTGGTCGGGGAATAGTCTCACACACCGAGGAAAAGTCTCACTGGCCGAGGAATAGTCTCACTCGCTGAGAAATAGTCTCACTCGCCGTGGAATAGTCTCACTCGCTGAGACAGTCCCATTCGCCGGGGAATAGTCTCACTCGCTGAGACATCGTCTCACTCGCCGTACGGTCGTGGTCCCACGCGCGCGTGAATCCCCGAATGTCGCGCCCTTGCCCAGCGAGCTAGACCCACGTGGCCCCTCACTCCGGTGGCGACGCTGCTGCGGTTATGCTGCTCGTGGTGCACAGGTGACGTGTAACAGGTAACAAACTCAACACGTCCCGTGTCAATAATAACCCTGCGGCCTTGAAAATTACAATTACACGTATATATATAAAATGTGGCGCTTAGAGCCAATGGATTTGTATACATAGCACGCGGGATCCAGCCACTCGACGCGCTCGTCACCGACCCTGCCCGACAAGGCACAGGACTCGACACGTGGTGCGTGTGTTGGAGGTCGCGGTCTAAGCTGCAGACGCCGGCGGACATCGTCGGGCAGGAAGATCCCACGCAGCGCGTGACTCTGAGTGCCAGGGGAAGTTCTCCACCCAGCCAGGGCGCTTGGGGTTGGGGGGGGCGTGGGGGGCCACGCTGCACCCCCCCCTCCCCCGCACAACTTGGCGAGGTAACGCACTGCTTGGTGGGTAATCATTAGAGGCGCCTTAACGTGTTTGTTTGTTTAACCTTTAACAACAACAACAACAAACAACAACGACACGGGGCTCGGCTGGATTAACAAATCCCAGGATAACCCGACGCACGCACGCACGCACACGATCTGTTTAGACCACAAACACAGAGCACCACCACCACTGTTGACTCACCTTCCAGCGGGAAGCCGCTTCGGGGGTAGTTCTGTCCTGGTGCCGGGCGCATCATCCTGAGAACTCTGCTGCATAAACACCGTGCCGACAAAGTGCTGCTTATGATGCTGCTGATGATACTTCTGCTGGTGCTGCTGGCTCTGGCTGCTGCTGCTTTTGCTGCGCGTTCAATAAACCGCGCTACAAGTTGTAATACTTGCTCTCGCTTTGTCGTCGTTGTTGTTTGTGGCTGTTGTTGTTGTCGCTTTATTGTTCTCTATGATCGTGGAAATCGCCCCTCGCACGGAGGACGGAGCGAGCCGAGCGCGGCGCTCAGCTGCGAGCCGAGCGAGTAACTTCCCTTCCCACTCTTCCTCCTCCTCCTCTCTCTCACTCCTCCTCCTGCTGCTGCTGCACAACTTCTGCCTGGGTGTGTGTGTGTCTGTGTGTGTGTGTATCTCCTGCCTGTGTGTGTGTCTCTTGCCTGTGTGTGTGTCTCTTGCCTGTGTGTGTGTCTCTTGCCTGTGTGTGTGTGCGTCTGCCTGCCTGTGCGTCTGCGTGTTAAAGAGTTTTTTCCGTCTCCGTCGAAACGGCGGTGGGCACGGACGCCGCCGGCTGGGTGGGTGTGGGCGGGGTGGCTCTCGCCCGGCTCCCTGCTTCGTGATCGCACCGCCGCCTCTGCCACGACAACAGCAGCAGCAGCAGCTCTCTCGCTCTCCACCCTCCTCCTCCTCCGAGTGCCTCTTCCCTCTCGTCCATGCGAGCGCCAACTTTCCTCAAGTGTCTTCTCGTTGTATCTCCCCCTCGGCTCCCATTGGCTGCGAGGTCGGGGGGGGGGGGCAGTCGGCCATGAGAGGGCAACCCTCGCCTCCGATTGGGCCGCGGCACGCCGAGGAGGTATGTCGTGGTGGTCCTGATGGTGGTCCTCTCGGTCGTGGTGGTCGTGGTGGTCCTCTCGGTCGTGGTGGTCGTGGTGGTCCTCTCGGTCGTAGTGGTCGTGGTGGTCCTCTCGGTCGTGGTGGTCCTGATGGTGGTCCTCTCGGTCGTGGTGGTCGTGGTGGTCCTCTCGGTCGTGGTGGTCGTGGTGGTTGTGGTGGTCCTCTCGGTCGTGGTGGTCCTCTCGGTCGTAGTGGTCGTGGTGGTCCTCTCGGTCGTGGTGGTCGTGGTGGTCCTCTCGGTCGTGGTGGTCGTGGTGGTCGTGGTGGTCCTCTCGGTCGTGGTGGTCGTGGTGGTCCTCTCGGTCGTGGTGGTCCTCTCGCTCGTCTGGGGCACTTGGGAGAATTTGGAATTGCGCCGCGCACTTTGCGATGTTACGAGCTTCTGTCGGTGACAATTTTTAATGTTTAAGTTCTACTCCGTTACTTGCACTTGTTAACACAACAAGATGAAGTCTGTCGTCGGTGCGTAGGGGAGCGAGCTGGTGGACGCGCTGCGACTAAGATAAGAAGACGAAAATAGGTCGCATTTTCACAGTCTCTCCGGATCAACACAAATTTTAAAGTCTATTTTTTTATTTCATCATCTCCATCACCGTCGGACACACGGGATTTTTAGGAGTGATTTTTGACACAATCGAACCGTGGACCGCAGGTGATCTACATCAATCTATCACCAATAGCAATGTGAATATCGAGTTAATTGGATGGGGGGGGGGGTGTTACGGAAGACGACATGACAGTAATAATTAGTGTAGGCGTTGGTCGTTCTGCAGAACGCGATTCACGTGTGCGCATCTTTAACGCATCTATGAATCGCACACCACACATATATAGGTATAAGTGCACTCAGAGTACACGTTTTAAATATAATTGTAAGTATAAATGCCATTCTAATAAAATATTCGTTTGCCCTATTAGCGATTTGATAAATGTGTTAATGTGTGTGTGTACACGAATGGGTAGCGGTAGTGTAATGGTTAGCACACTGCGCCACAAACCCAGCGACCCCAGTTCGCGACTACTTACATCAGTGGCGAATATTTAAACCGGTCATGGGCCTCTCCTAGTTCGACTCAGCCTTAAATGAGTACCTAGTGCGGTGTTGAAAACATCAGCACCGGGGAGACAAAGGCGGCCGGGCGTGGTGTTGGCCACCCACCCCATCGTGTATCGTGGCAGCTTTCATCGGTGCTCGCTAACAGCACTTGCCCCAACAGTCTGTGAAAGGCTACACGGTGTGTCTTTGGCTTTGTCCCTCTGGCTGGAGAATCCGTGATCACACAAACACGTGGGGCTCAACAATCCTCGACACTCGGGGGCTCCGTTCACATGGAGTCTCACCGATAATAAATCACCCTCCACACCGCGCCCGCGAAGATGCCGTGGTCACAACTGTCACACCGAGTCACCGACTCTCACGCTGGGAACAAAGTTGCTACCTCGCACCGGTCCCATGCAACTCAAATGCTGACGCAATAATATGTTGAGTAAAATACGTCACAATTATCAATTATAACAATAATAACAATAATTTACAGCCCGTTGTCAAGCCTCTCCAAAAAAAACCCTGTCGGTCACGTGGAGTTGTTTGACCATTCTTCCCCACGATGGTCAGGGACTCAGCGCGCTAACCACTGTGCCACCGCTCCCTTGTAACGTATGCCACAATAATGCAATTCCACATGTTTTTTAATGTTGCTCTGACGAGCGGCCCATGCATGGTGTAGAGAGAGAGAGAGAGTACGTGCCAATACATTCCGGTAAACCAGCGGATTTAATTTCGCACGCCTCACTGCTGATGAGCCCCAGAAGAGGGGAACCCTATCGATGGGAACCCTGCACGTGTTTATTCGCGTGCTGCGAATCGGAGTGTGGAAGGCCGACGGCCGGTCGATGGAACTGAACATCGTTCGATTTCGGGGTGGTGGGAGAGAGACACCACGGGAGGTGATTTGACGGCGGTGTCACCGCACAGAGACCGGTGGAGCCACGCCGTGGGGGATGCGATAACATGCGTACGCATGTACGCATGTCATTGCATGTATGTATGTACGCATGTCATTGCATGTATGTATGTACGCATGTATGTATGTAGAGAGCGGTGGTGCAGTGGTTCGCGCACCACGCTACAAATTGAGTTCGCTTCCCGCTTACGGCCAACATTGGTGACGATTATCTGAACCGCTCCTGGGCATCCCCCCCCCCCCCAAGTCGACTCAGCCTTACGTGAATACTTTATGCGGTCTGTAGACATCAGAAACTGCGGGAGACAAAGGCGGCCAGCCGTGGTGTTGGCGCACCCAGCCCCGCGTGTGCCGTGCCGACCTTCAAAAAGGTGTTCGCGAACAGCACTTGCCCCGACAGTCTGTCGCAGGCTACCCGGGGGATCTGTGTCTGTGTGTCGTACAACACTTGTGTTCCACGTTCATTCACGCGCGCACTCAGGGTGGCATAAGGATGCTGTACGCGAACTACACCCACACGACACAGGCACACACCAGCGGACCTCCATAGGCGCTCGCTTACAGCACTTGCCCCAGGAGCCGTAAGCAGCCTACACGGAGGATCTTTGTTTTTGTCACATGTGTACACGTCCGTGGTGTGATGGTTGATGAGCTCTGCGAGAGAGATGAAGACGTTGCCACCACCACCACCAAAGATACCCCGCATAGCCTCGCACAGACTGTTGGGGTACTACCATCATCATCATCAACAACAATTACGGCAAATCGCCGTTGATGTGGCCGAACGCGCATGTGTACACATGCACCTGTGCACATGCACCTGTACACATGCGTGTGCACGCGAGTACACGTGTACACACACACACACACGTGTGTCACACGTGTTTCTTGTGCGATGCTGCTGCGTTGGCAGAGGTGCACACACTCGGACACACAGATACGAACACAACACTCAGCACGTGCGTTCGTAACATTGTTATCTTCAAAGGGAGGGGTAAATATAAGCATATATACAATAGACGACGTTTCGGCCAACGGCCCATTTTTATTCGTAAGTTACGCGTAGCGAGTTTTTAAATGCCTAACTTTGTGAATTGTACTTGGGTATTGTGCACACACTCTACCCTAGCAGCTGCTCCCAAAACATACCATTACCAACACAACAATAATAATAACAATACTGATCAGTCTCCTGTGCCAATCCCACTGATGGAGGCATTGCTCGCGCAGCCGTGTCAGCTATGTGGCCGTTGTTTGACCATGCTTCATCGCGCTGATCAATGCGGCGAAGAGGGAAATATGCACTGATACTGTGTGTTTCTTTGCCGATGAGAAATGTGACATTGTACGCGTGTGCACACGTGTGTACGTGTCTGTGTGTATTATGTATGTATGTATAGGTGTATATATGTGTGTGTACGTGTTTGTGTATGTTTGTTAAGTGTACGTGTTCGTGTGTATATGTATGTCTATGTGTACGTGTGTGTATATATGTGTGTGAAACTGCGTATGTGAAAATGTGTACGTGTGTGCCAATATGTATGAACATATGTTGTGTGTGTTTATATGTATGTTTATGTATGTGTAAATGTGTATGTGCACGTGTGTTTGTATATGTATGGGTGTATGCGTTGGTGTTTGTGTTTATAGTATGTTCATGCATAGGTGTGCACATAATACGTATGCGCCTTTATGTCTATGCATAAGCGTGTATATATGTTCGTGTATCATATTTCCAAAGTGTGTTTGCATGATTGTGTGTATTTGGGTATATATATGTCTATAGGCGTTGTGCTGGTCACCGACCCCCTCCTGTGCTGTTCCAGCCTTCATAGATGCTGTTCGATAACAGCACTTGCCCCTGCAATCTGTAAAGGCTACGCAGGGGATCTTTATTTGTGTAAACATGATCACCCGTAAATCCCGCACAGACTGTTGGGGCGAGTGCTGTTCACCAGCCCCTATTGGGTACCATATTCTACGGCGCACGAGGGTGTGATGCGGTCGAGTTCATGCTCGGCCGCCTTTGTCTCCCCCAGTGCTGAAGTTATCATACCGCACCAGGTACTCATCGAACCGGAGAAGGCCGAGGACAAGTTCTGAGACGACTCGCCACTGATGTTAGCCGTGGTTGGGAATCAAACTCACGTATTCAAGTTGGTTGCCGAGTTCGCGATCTACAAAGTCTGTATCGCACGTGTGTGTGTGTACAGGTCACTAACAGCACTTGCCCCAACATCATGTAGAGGCTATACGGGGGTGGAGGGGGGGGGTCTTTGTCTTAATTATGTGTGCGCGTGTTCCGTAGCGATTAGCGCACTGCGCTGCAAATCCGGCGACCCGAGTTCAATTCTCGCTCACGGCCAACACCAGTTGCGAAAATCTGTACCGGTTCTGGGCTTCCCCTAGGTCGACTCGGCCTCAAATGAATAACTGGTGCGGTGTGTAGAAAACATCGTCACTGGGGAGACAAAGGCGGCCGGGCGTGGTGCTGGCCACCGACCCCTTCGTGTGCTGTGCCGGCTTTCATAGGTGCTCGCGAACAGCGCTTGCCCCAACAATCTGTTAAGGCTACACGGGGGCATCTTTCTCTTTGTGTTTTGTCTTCATAGACGCTATACTCTTTGATTCTATTCGGTAAAGTCACGTAGGTAAAAAATAAAAGAGTTTGGATCCTTGCAGTCACGAAAGCTTTAAATCTAGAATTCATAGACGCTGTCTCTCTCCCCGATGTTTGGAGACTCTGAAACTGAGAGCCTGAATCGGAGTCTCCGCTCCGCGCGATCATCGGGGAGAAGTGTGATTGGCAATGAAGGGGGTTGCGATTGGCGATTGCATCTGTAATCATCTTTGTTATGTTTTTTTGTTAACCTTCTAAAGCGATGATTCGCTATTTATTTATT